ACAGCTACATTTATTGAGTCCTTGTTGTGAACTAGAGACCAGGCTGAGACACCATCTCATTCAACCATCACATCCTTGCTTTAAGTAACAGATGGAAAACCCAGGATCAGAGAGGGTAAGGAATTTGTCCAAGGGCACATAGCCCAAGTCAGCCAGAGTCCAGAACCTGAGCCCAGAACTACTGTATATGCGACCAAAGTGTCCTCCCATCCCGACCCTTCAACTGGACGGGGCGGAGTTTTAGTGACCTCTGGAAACCGCCCAGACTCCTCCTTTGCTGAAAGCATGGGGCAAGGTCTAACTTCCCTCTCAGACCTTCCCCCAGGCCTTGAGCCTTCTTTCTCAGAACCCATGTGATACCCTAGTTCCCCCTGAGCGCCTTCTCCTCCCCCCACTGGGACAGTCACCCTTACAGGACCAGTAGCTCAGGATTAGATTAATGTATTTATTCTTGTTTTATTTTTTTAAAATATATTTTATTGATTTTTACAGAGAGGAAGGGAGAGGGGTAGAGAGTTAGAAACATCGATGAGAGAGAAACATTGATCAGCTGCCTCCTGTACACCCCCCACTGGGGATGTGCCTGCAACCAAGGCACATGCCCTTGACTGGAATCGAACCCGGGACCCTTCAGTCTGCAGGTCGGTGCTCTATCCACTGAGCCAAACTGGTCAGGGCTATTCTTGTTTTATTTTTAATGCATTGAAGTAAAATCTAAGCTACTTTGTGGGGGTGGAGAAGTGGGGGAGTCTTTATGAGGCTAGGGAAGAGAGCCCAGGAAGATGTGAACAAGGAGCTTCTGAGCTGTTAAGCTTTCTGTGAGTTCTGAAACAGTGCAGAACTCACATACATTCATAGAATTTCAGAACTGGAAGTAGTATCTAGAGCTACAGTGGGTTCAAATCCTGGGTTCACCATTTCTTAGCTGTGAGACCATGGGCAAGTTGCTTAACCTTTCTGTGCCTTGGTTCAAATGGAGGATAATAATAGTACAGGCTTCACCATGTTGATGTAGTGAACTATTATTAGCTCTTTGTGGTTATTGTTTATTGAGAACTCATGGTAACGATGAGAACCTTGCAGAGCCTGTACAGCATAGGTGAGAGCTCAGAGGCTGAGGCCAGACTGCTTGCATTTAAATCCTACTTCACTACCTAAAGTTGTGTGATCTTGGTTAAGAAGTTGACTTCTCTGAGCCTCAGTTTCTTCATTTGCCAATATTTCTCTTGGCTTAGAGATGGCATGTGAGGCTCGATTGGACCAATGAGATTCAAGGCCAGGACTTGTGCTGGCACCAGCAGGGAAAAGAAGTGTTCTTCACATTGAAGTTGCTGAGCTGGCAGGCTGTGGGCCTGGATCTGCTGGGCCCACCTTGGTTACCTCGGCAGGAGAGCCTGCCTGAGAGTAAGGCTAACACAAGGGGAAATAGATAAAAGAGCTGTTGCGCGACAGTCATGATGACATTGCTTGGGCCCCTGGATGTAGCCATGCCTGAAGCAAGCCATTTTTGGACTTCCCAGTTTCATGAGCGAGCAAATTCCCCGTTTTGTGAAAGCCACATTCAGTTGGGTTTTTCTCACTGGAAAGCATCCAGGCTGAGACCAGAAGGTTAAGCAATTTGCCCATGGCCTGAGAGCCAGTAAGTAGCCAACCCGGGATATAGAAGCTTCTCACCTGCTGTGCCCATTGCTCCAACATCGGGGCCATTCTGTGTTTGGGTGTTTGTGTTGATTTCATCTCTTTACCCTCTCTGAGCAGCCATTTTCTCATCTGAAAAATGGGATAACGCCTGACTTGCAGGGCTGTTGGGAAATAGAAAACGCTGGACAACATTGTTACCTGGTGCTGTCTGTGGCTGCAGGCGGAAGCTCTGTGCATCGTTTCCAGTGCTTTGGCCTTTGGCTTTGGCCTCGGTTAGTTATTCCATCTCAGGGGTGTCTTTGGCTGACCCCCAAGTCAACCAACTAGCCAAGGTGCCCACACTATGTTAGCATGTGTGACTCTCAGAGGGAAGGGCCATTCCCTTCCTGGTTGCATGTCCTCAGTGGTGGACAGAGGGAGCTGGGAGACCCTGAGGCCCCTTCAGTTCTGAGTCTTATGGTGGAAAGAAGCCCTGTCTACTCAGTTTCTGGAATGTTCCAAGGACTCATGGGCTCTTCTTGGAATGACCTGTAGCTTAAGACAGCATTGAACCAAATTGACTTAGTTTCTTTTCTTCATGAAATCAACATTTAGTGGTGGAGACAGACGATGAACACCTAAAACAAATATTTAACATAGTGCTGTGGTAACCCTGGGGAGAAAATATGACACCAAATGCCTGGTAAGTGCTAAGAAGGAAAAGGGATAGAGTGACTGGGCACTGTTTACCAGGAGGCATCAGAAGGGGCCTCTCTGAGGAAGTGACATTTCATCAGAGACCAATTTGGTCTCACTCTGGATCCCAAGCTCTTAACACTGAGCCATCTGCCAGGAACAAGACCAGGACGAGGCAACTTGCTGACACTGCTAAGTTAGGAGTCGATGATCCCTGGGAAACAGTCGTCCTTCTCCACTGAAACTCTTTAGGACATTTTTAAAAGTTTAATGGGTCATTGATTTCCTCCATTAGCTAAATCCACGAGGAAAGGCCAGAGAAACCGCGTGAGATCATGCCTGCCAGGAAAAGATTTCAGCTATCATGACACATGGTCATTTGTTTATTTTCTAACCAGTCATCACTAGATGATTCCCAATCACCACCATCACTTCTCTGGGGATTCAAGAGCTTGGCTGGTTCAAGGCCAGACCCTGGCAGGGAATTGGCGAGCTTTACAAATGAAAGGAAGACTCAGAAAGGCATAGCAGACTCTGGTACCACGGGTCCCTCCTCCCCGCCAAATATCAGACAAGAAGTTGGGGGAGATACAGAGAAGAACGCCATGTGAAGATGGAGACAGAGATTGGAGTGATGCTGCCACAGACAAGGGACCATGAGCCACCAGGCGAGAAGAGGCAAGGAATGTCCCTCCCCTAGAGCCTTCGGAAGGCTTGTGGCCCTGTCGGCCCCATTGATGGTGGACTTCTGGCCCGCAGAACTGTTTGAAAATACATTTCTGTTGTTTTAAACCACCAAATTTGTGGTGATTTGTTATGACACTCCTAGGAAATTACCACAACCACGAAACAGCCCAGACTTGGACCCTGCTTTAGCCTGCTGCAGCCCCCCTCTCCTCCATCAAGAACTTGTGCGTAGCTTTGGCCCCACTCAAAGGCTGCTGCAGTCCTTGGGTGACACTCCCTGCAGGCTTGAGGGCCACTTGGGCTCCAGATGGGCATTTGATTTATTTACTTATTTAGCTCAGCCCACAATGATAGGAATGAACCAGCCCTCTTCTCTCGTCCCCCAAGGAGTTCTGTGAGTACCAGACAAGCTAGCACTCAAATCAATGAGGACAGGAAGAGTATACCAGAGCCTGGAGTCACTTAAACGGGCTAAGATTTAAATCAGGCAGCTTCTAAGTGTGGGATTCCCAAACTTTCCACCAGAATGGACATCTTTTGTTAATTTCCTCCATGGAACACCCAGTTTCTAAAGACATTGCCTATGAAATCAATTGCATTTATTCAATAAGAATTCATTTACCTCCCCCCTCCAATTGCTATTATATGGAGGTAGGTATATAATAACGAGGGCTAATATTTATGGATCCACTCACTATACTAATAGCACTATACATATACTTATTCCATCTTCACACCACCCCTATGAGGTAGGTACTTTTATTATCCTAATTTTACAAAGGAAGGAACAGAGGCCGAGAAAGGTTAGGTCTTTTGCTAAAGGTTGCACAGCTAGTATTTTGTAGAGCTGGAAGTTGGACCCAGGCAGCCTGGCTCCAAAGCAATCCCCTGGAGACTGGGTTAGAATTTTGGCTTGCATACCAATGTGCAATGCAAGTGATTTTGTTTCTCTGCACCTCAGTTTCCTCATCCATAAAGTGGTAATAATAGTAGTGCCTATTCTGTAGGATTGTTGTGGAGATTAAGAATGTGTACTTGGAATCCCAGGCAAGTGTCTGCCGCAAGTACTCAAGGAATTATTTCAACCAGCGATACCAGCAGCTGCTCTGGCCAGGCCTGAGATGCAAACAGGGATGATTTGGTCCTCTAGGTTCTCTGACCTCATGCAGTTCACGATTCCATGTAATGTGCCAGGCCAGAGCTGGATGGCTTCAAGTAGAACCTGCAGGAAGGCAATCTGACCAGCCCTTTTCATATGTGCTTCCAGGACCATAGATGGACAATTAGCTGGGGCTGCTGGTAAAAAGTACAAATTCTTGGTATCTGAATTCCTTGGAGTTGGACCCAGAAATCTGTATTATCCGACACTCTAATGCACCCTGGAATTAATGCTCCTCTGAGTCCAGTCTGGGCAAGAATTCCTTGATACTTTGGGAAACTGAAAATCATGCCAGGACCTCAATCCATTCCTGCAGCGCCCGAAATTGGAGACCTCCAACGGAAAGCTTGCATTTCAGTACAAGGGCAGTACAGAGAATAGGAGGGTCTTTCTCAGCAGCCTGGTAAATAATAAAGCTCTAAGTTTTATGAAAAAAACGTGCAGACATCTGGCCAGAGGCAGGAGGCAGGAAATGGAGCATGCTTCCTAGGCCCATATTCCAGCTTGGAGCACTGAGGCCAGGGCCCTGGCGTTGCAGGAAAGATACATGACTATTTCAAGGCCACCCTGTGACTCAATGGGCCTCCTAGAGGTTTGATCTCACTATCCCAGGAGGCCTGGCAAACCCAAGCGCCTTGCGTCGAGCTCCCGGGGTCGCCTAGGCAACGGGCGGGCGCCCCGCCCAAGCTCGGAGTTCCGGAGGGGAGGAGAGAGCGAGCCCTGCGAGAGGTCTCGCGGGGCCGAGGCCGCTTCCTCCAGCGCCTCCCCCTGACTCCACCCCGCGGAAGTGCTGGCTGACCTGTTCGACCGCTGATTGGCCTTCACTCTGGGGGCGGAGCCCACAGCAGCGCGGTGCGTACTTCCGGCTGCCGGGTTGACATGAAGAAGCAGCGGCTAGGGCGGCGGTAGCGGTGGCAGCCGAGGCTTGCAGCGGGACTCCCGGCGGAGTGCGCGACGCGGCCTAGAGCGGCAGACGGCGCGGTAGGCCGAGGAGGGGGCGCAGCAGCCGCCCTGGCCCGTCATGGAGATGGAAAAGGAGTTCGAGCAGATCGACAAGGCCGGGAGCTGGGCGGCCATTTACCAGGTGCGGGAGCAACCCGGAGCGCGGCAGGCCCTTCGCTTAGGCCGCGTGAACCTTCCCCGCAGAACCCCGAGTCCCGTGCTTCCTCTGGGTCTCGACCGGTGCGTCGGCCCTGCTGCTTGAGGATTCAGTCCGACGGCGGCAGAGGCCGGCCCCCTCTCTCTTTGTCCCTCGGGTGGGCCTTCGTCCCTCCCGGACCTCGCCGTCCCCTTGGGTCCCCCACTTACCTCGCATCCTCCAGCCCGGTGACCTCTCCCGCCCGGGGGCGGCGGGTCCGGGCTCTCCGCGCGCATCCCTCGCACCCCGACCCCGCCCCCCTTCCCATCCACTCTTTGTCCCCTGGGGTTGGCGGAACGCCCCCGCCACTTCCTTTTCTAGACGGGACCACCTCAGACTCTCTTCCTTTGTCTCCCTGGGAGCAAGGGCTACTCCCCCTCCCGCCTTCACGTTTCCTTTCCCCTCGTCTCCGTGTGCTTGGGAGTCCCGAGGGTGACAGTCCCCTTCCCCCTTCCTGTCCATTCATTTCATGGATGTGAATTGGCGATGCCCGTTCCGTGCCGGGCACCGCTCAGGCGCCGGAGGTGGTGTGTACTGAATGAGACGGACCAGACCTCATCCCTCGTGGAGCTCAGAGTCCAGGAGGACAGTCGCACACATGAGCAGATAATTTCGGGTAGTGACAGGTGCTGGGAAGAACACAACGCGGAAGGGAAGGTGGGCTGCCCCGGAGAAGGGGGTCAGGGCAGGTCTAGCAGGCATTTGCTCCGTGAGCTGGAAGAGGAGCGGCAGCAAGCCAGGCAGGTATCGGGCCAAAGATCCTTCCAGCCAGGAGGCCTGAGGTGCCCGCTGCACTGGGCCAAAAGGCTGCTACCCTTTCAGGCAGGGACCATGGGAAGTTAGCATTTTTACTGAAATGGCATCTTCCCCCGATGAGCATCTTAATGCTTTGGTGGAGGCTGAGGTGATGGGGTCTTAAAAGTCCTCGTCTACTTGTGGATGCTATGGTGGTGCCTATACATTAGGAAGGCAGGGTTTCTGACATATCTCTAAAGCATCAGATTAAAAACACCAAGCGGTCTGCCTTCACCAGCAGCTAAGCCCTCTCGAGAAAATATGTGCTCCTGATTAAATGTCATTGCGGGGGTTGTGAGGACTCACCAAAACCACACTCCATGTTTTAAATAAACGGTGCACAGAATAGAGAGATGTTACTTGTGTAAAGGGAGAAGGCAGTGTATTCCGTTTCCAGCTTATAGGCTCAAAAGGCAAATTGTGAGATCTATTAGCCGGTAGTATTAAAGTCTATTTTGAGCTCCACTTAAAAAGGAAAGAAAGCTTTAAGCAATTCTTTGGTATGCTTAACTAACAAAGCTTTTTTTTTTTTTGGCATGCTTGGTTTCATGTCGATTTGCATCAAGCTTATTTGACAGGTTTACTTTTACTTAGACTATAAAGTATATTAGTTATTGATAAATATATACAGTTTGTATCCATTGCCTAGTCTCTCTGAAGTAATTGAGTGAATTTCACTAGCGGCTTTGAGAATGTGTAGACGTGCTGTCTATGTCAGATTTAATGCAGTGGAATCTAAAGTGGTTCTTAATGAAAAAATGGTTCCTCTGAAGTGTTGGATATTATGATATACCCCGTCACAAGTGGAGGTGGCCTCCACGAAGCATTGGGGAAAATCTATTATACCGGAACTGAGTTGGCAACAACAAATTCATATTCTAAAAACTCATATTCTAAAAGAATTTGATTTCTTACTGTTTTAGGCCAGAGCTTGGAGCATGTTCGTCTTTAATTTCCCTCCTCGTTCTTAAGTTTCTCTACCATATTTGAACTCCAAGACTTAGTCAAGATTTGCAGTATGTCAAGATTCCCTTAATGGATTGCCACGTTCCTGGAGGTGGTTTCTTTTGACATTAGAGAGTTGTCCATTATGGGCTTTCTCACCTCTACTGTACAGGTATTTTTGTTTTCTAACACTGAAATCAGAAACTCTTCTCCTTTTTGAGTTGAAAAGTGGCTCTTTATTGGGCATTGTGTCATTTTTAAAAACATAGAGTTCAGATGACCTTGAGTTGAAAGTGGCACATTTCCCAAAGTGTGTGTCAATTTACCGAAACCATTCTTTCTCAGGAATTCAAAGAAATGTGTTTCAGGTTGGAAGAAAATGGAAGCTAAAAAAAAAAATTAACAATTTATAGCATGCCACGATGAGGACAGCCTTGTGCAAAGTCATTTTAAGCTTGCTTAGTCTATTGTGATTAGAAAAATATAATTTCTGCTTAAAATTTTGTAAACAAGGCAGTGCAGTTATTTCTTATGACACTAACTTCTTTTCTAACTAGAACAAAAAGATGCAGAAACTTGGCAACAATTGGGCAATGAACAAAGGGTAAAGTAGACTTGAATGCTGAGGAATGTGGTAGCTTAGAAAACAAAAGTGTCAGGCAAAGATTCTATGTAAGCTTAATCTGATAACGTGAGCATAACTGTTTTTAATTGTTAGAGCTAATAAATAGCATAGGTACTGATGAGCATTTAGGTTTATAAAAAAGTCAGCTTTGATAGCACATGTAGATGGGTTTAAAAATTGTTCCCTATCATTTAAATGATTGCGTGTCTGATTTGAAAAGTGGAAGTAATACTAGTGAGCTTAGAGTTTGAGTTGGTCTGGCTGTCTAAGAGAAGACAGAACACAGATGGGGAAAAGGGATTGGTTTTTGGAGCTAGAATGAATAGAAAACAGAACTTGAAGTACTGAAAATAGCTGATAAGCTGCCCTCCATCAGTAGTTTAAGGTTGGGGTCAGGTGTTTTGCTCTTTCTCTCATCTTTAAATTCTTTGATTCTCTGACACTGTTCATTACCTTTAAATGTGAATGATTTGATTGTTTCATATAAAGGAGGTTGCAACCGTAGCTTGTGACTTGAAGACAAGATTTATTCCATGTTAGAGGCCGGCTTTGTAAAATGGGCCACTCTTCCAAATGACTTGTTTTTATAGCTGCTTTCATTATGAAATATGATCTAATGCATATCTAGGTTAAAACCATGTTATAACAATAGTTCACTAAAATTCTTCACTGCTATATACAGTATATGTTTTTATAATCCAAGAAGATGAATATTAAAATTTCCTAATAATGTTTATTTAAATACCAGTCTCTTCAGAGAAAGACTCTGTTTTGTGAAGAGGAGACAGATCTATACACTATGACTCACTTCACTTAAAAAAAAAAGACAAACGGAAATGACATGGAGAGATTGGGAAGTTCTAGTCATCTTGAGTGACCCATTAGCTCTAAATGTGCTTGTTTAGCCCTGGTTTTAGTGAACTAAATTTAGGTGTCTGATCTCCACTTTGGAAATGGTGTAAAGACCTTTGTAATTGTCGGGGCTCATATTAAATTAACTGGGAGCACAAGGAGAAATAGTGGAGGGAACTTTCTGCTATTATTTGTTTGACATCACTGGCATATTTATAGGAATACTTTGGTACTTTTGGAAGTACATAAGCAGGTCAGCTGGGGGATAATGGTAATGCAAATGATCTTCAGTTGCCAATTACCTGCAGTTTGCATTTTAGCATGAATAGCTCCCCAAACCCTCTAAAAATACCTGGTATTGAATAATGTGTTGAATGTACTAGTATACTGAATTTCATGATAGAAATGAATATGAAATTTCCTGTAGGGGGTTTTTCAGAGTATAAACTGTTGGAATAATGACTGTGCCTTTTCTTTTTCTTTTCCTTTTTTTTTTTTTTTTTGGTATTGTCTGTTTTCTGATCTCTTAGGGTGCAGAAATTTTGTCCTATGATGTGCTTTTAATTGCAGGTACTTTTTCTTAAGCCTACCTGAACCCATATGTATTTTGCGAACACTGACATTCCTCCCTGCAGTGTTTGTGTTCATACGTTCATGGTAACCAACTAATACTGACAGATAGGCTGGGCATGTTTCTTGCTACTGCCCGTGTTCCAGAAAATGGGAAGTCTAGCTGGGTCATTGTTTCCAAGACAGTGTAGTTTGGTATCAGGCACTTGGTGTGTTTTCAGTATCCAGTGAGTGCTGGGGATTTGGACTAGTTCTTGATTCCCCCTACCACATTTTGTTGATTGGTCACCATAGCATTCTTTCTACCACCCCAGTGGTCTAGGTTCTTAAATCTATAATAAAAAAGTGTAATATGCAAATCGAACAGCCAAACAACGGAACAACTATCCGGACGCCCATCCAGACAACCTTCTGGACGAAGCCAGGGCTGTGATGGCCTACTCTTGCATGAATTTTGTGCATCGGGCCTCTAGTTTTGCCTATAATACTATAGTCGTTTGTAGTTTCACACTAGAAACAAGTGAGACAAGTTACATATTATTATGGTCCCTTAAAGTCTCTCCATATCTCCTCCTACCCCGCCATGTATATTCTTCACATTATCACTGGTAATTGTGTTAAAAACAGACCTGAGTCAGGTCACTCTGTTTAATTACTTCTAGTGCTTTCATAATACCTGTAAGGTCCAAACTCCTTAGCATGGCAGCCAGGTTCCAGCCATCCCTTCCCATGTACCTCTATTCTAGCCACACTAGAACGTATAGTGTTCTTCAAACTCATCCTTCTCTTTCCTCCTCTATATCTTGGCTCAACACTTTGTGTTGCCTGCCTTTCCCACTCAGATGTGTGCCTCCTCATACTAGATCTTTGTTGTCTCACCTGTGTGTTTCCATACAACTTCATACTTACCTCTTCTGAAGCCTTGCTCTCATGGGAGCTGTTTCTTTAGATCTAGATCTATCTCCTCCAGAGTCCAAGCTTCCTGAGGCCAGCTAGTCCATCTTTCTCACTCATCTTGGTGTCCTCTGCACCTGGACAAAGTAAGTGCCTAACAAATGCTGAATTGAATTGCTTGTCAGCCCTTTGCCAGGCCCTGACAATATAAAGACAAACCATACCTGGTTCCCAACTCCCATTCTAGGGAGGAGGGTGATAGTAG